GACCATGACGCATTTCTAAAAAAATTCTCCATATTTCTCCTGTTTTTACCTTCCAAACCCTGCAAAGTATGCGGATCCGTGCGAAGCAGCTGAGGTCGGGAATTCCAACCCATCGCCCATGATGCCTTCGAAATGCCTTCGAAATGCCTTCGAATGCCATCGGATGCCATCGATTCTATATACAGGACGTGTCGATGTGGATCGATCAGCAAGGCACTCAAGCACACTGCATCACGATACGTCTTCTAAGCAAAAACGCAGCATTGCCTCTACACACTCTGTACTTCCGCGTGAACAGCCTGTAACAGCCTTCAACTTCCCTAGAGCTGGATCCTCACGTCTGGGACAGTCCTTCCAAAAAAGTGAGCAACAAGCTGTAATCATGTGGAATCCATTGCAATCCAATGGATACCCTCAGTGACCATGAATGCCGAAGGACTGTCTGTTCCGTGGGGCAAACCTTGAAACATCTACCAAAAATGGCATCGAACTTGAAATCCTTAAAACACTCCGAGCACCTCAAATGATGAGGGCTTGGCCGTCTGTGGATGGAGTCTTCTAAGGTTATAAATCGAATTTCATCGTGCATCACTTCCCACTTAAATCACTTGAAACACTTTCACCCCTTTTGTCAAAATGTCATGTCTCGTGCTCTTTTTATTTCTTTCTCACCTCTGCTGATCATATACGTGAGTATACGCGAGTGCTCCAGTTTGTCATGCCAATGCGCACGAGCAAGGAGCAAAGCAACGACCAGTCACGGCGTGCAACAAGCACGCACAAAAACAATTCCACACCAATTAAACATGATTAAACATTGTTCTATATTATTCTACACGTGTTTGAAATGATGCACAGGTCAGGGTATGGTAGGATATTCAAATGCTAGGCGCAGGCGCCCCAGCAAGAAGCAGCGTGAAAAAGGGATCGATGATCGGAGAGTGATCCGATCCCGACGCGGGCTTCAGCTGGAAACGTAAGATGTAGTTCAGATATGTTCAGATGTAAATAGATGTAATATAGATGTATAATATGTATATAATAAGAAACTTTCGGATCTTTCAACACTTTCAACTTCCAGATCTTACAGCACAGCATTGAAAACGCAGCGCGAAGTCTTCGCATTGCGAATTTGTACGATGACACTGTAAGAACAGCACTACTCTGATTTCAGAGAGCTGTCGAAGTCTAAACCACCATTCTATATGTTCATGGTGTCTGCAACAAACTCCGAGAGACGTCGAGCAAAAATACGTCGCTGCCTAGATTGGATGCCCAGTATACGCCTTCATGTTTTTTTTCATGATGCTGTGTTCACTTGTGAAGCTTGAAGCATGTTTGAAGCATCTCAATGCATCTCATATCTCATACCTTTCTTGTGGTGCCATGGCTCTACAAAATCCAGGCAGGAAGGTTGTTGCAGGTGTGGCTTTCAAGTTTAGAATCATGCGCGGCATCAATGCGCCCCAGCCTGAGATCTCATGTCTGGCCAGCTCCAATAAGAAGCTGTGACATGTTGCGACACTTTGCCCGACAAAATGTATAAGACATGTCCCTCGCGTCTATATTATGTTTACATGTCATCTCAGGCTTAGTACACCTCAATTCCTTCTAATTACTAGGATACACTATGATACACTGATATACTACAAGTAGGATATAGATCGTTCATGATTGTTCTGGCCTGAATGAATCCTGAATGACTGCATGGTGGCGATGTTAAATTGTCATAAAAATTCAGTGCTGCCGAGATGCGTTCAGCCAAGGGTGCTCAAGTGCCTCCACAGCTGATAATCGATTCTCTGACTCCACGAGCAACCGCGCCAGGAAGTCTCTGGCTCCTGCAGAAACGCGCTGAAGCTTGGAGACCAGAAATTTTCCGAAAAGACCAGAGAAGATTGGAGAAACGGAGAAACAAACGGGTAGAAGTTCGGTAGAAGTTCGGTAGAAGACCTTGAAGATCCGACATCTGAAGACTTGCCATGTCTTGCCGGCCCCTTGCGGAATCGCATACATTGACATCATAATTTCAGAAGGGGCTGCCGGGCTGCGTTGATCTGACGCTGCTTGACTGCGAAATACTACTCGATCACATGTTTAATTAAACAGTTTACCCTCGAAACAAGTGCGTTGTTTGGCTAAGGCTTCTCAAAGGATTTGCCTTACGACACTGCCCTCACACCCCTGCGGCGGGAAAAAGACAAAGATTTCTTGACCCTCTACTGGATATGGTATTTCGTATGTTTTCTGCATTTTTTATCATATTTCATCTTTGCGGCAAGACATGGCAAGATAAGAATCAATCAGTAAGAATCGGAAAGAATCAGTAAGAATCGGAAAGAATTAGTAGTCAGAATCACATCGCCGGAAAACCAACGATTTCGGATACTTTTAAGCTTTTTCAAGTACCTGGTAAACCCTTAGATTGGAAAAAACAACTCTGTTTCCAGAAAACCTGGTTTTTTGCAAACAGTGTAGAAAAAAGTGCTCTAGAGCACTTTTTACCGTTCGAGGCTATTCTTGGGTCTTTAGGGTATACCATTTCCAATCTCAGGTGAACATATATATATATATATACATATATATATATACATATATATACATATATATATATATTTACATATATATATATATATATACATATATATATGTGTGTGTATTTACATATATATATATATGATATATATTAAATATACATATAGGGGTTTCCTGAAAATTGCACATGTATACAAACACATGCATATACACTATATATTTGTAATCATCAGTATTTGGGATTGAGAAGCAATAATATGGCGCACCAAGGCACAAAATTACATGTCCTGTTCCCAAATTCAATTTATATATATATATATATTGTTGTTGGGTTCTATATATAAGGGTTGATACGTGCATGGATAATATCTATATATATATATATATACATGCAACATTACCCAATATCCTCATCAAACCGGCCCGCAAAGGCCTGCCGTGCAGCAGGAGTTGAGCTTCAAGATTTTTTGGCAACCGGGCCAAGACGACGAGGTGTCAAGTAGCCAACCTATAGATATATACAAGATAGATCCAAGCACCCAAAAATATATCCTTTTCATGTTTGGGTATACACAAATTAAGCTGTAAGTTTATACAAATATATATTTGATGTTAACAGAATAAACCAACAGCCGAAGAGACACACAGAAACCAGGCACTTTATAGAATCCTCTGCTGCCATGGCCACGATTTGGAGCCCTTGGCCACAGCTGCATGGTGACACCGGCTTGATTTAATCCCTGGGTGCTTGGGTTGAAAGAAGTGCAGTTGAAACCAAGCTAGGCCAAACGCAGTGAACTTCAGCTTTTTTTCAATGAGATCTGTATAAGAGAAAAAAATATGGATATGAATCGATATTATATTTATACACATATACCTGAGTCCCGAACACTTTGTAGCACATGATTTTGAAACAAGTCTCCAAGAGCGCACTTGCGCTTTCAGTATTGGGGCCTCACAGGCTGAAGTTCGTCAAAGATTCGTTTCCTAAAAAGGGCGCTTTGGCCCACGTGCTCAGCACTCACCAAGAATTCGCCGGCCTTAGCCGCAGCCGTGTGATCAGACCTGCTGGAAACCTGGTATAAGTACTTTGGGACCTTGTTATGGTTCGCCGTTTGTCGTCTCGGAGTTCCGCAAGTGGAGCAGCATCTTCATCCGGTGCTTCCCCAGTGGTTTCCCCCCGCAGTGAGCTTTCTGATGAGGGTATCCACCACTATTCACTGGATGGTTTGGCAGACTTGTGGGATAGCAGTAGTTTGATCAGAGAACGTTTGAGGAGCCAGCACAATCTTTGCCGTCATTTTGACAACAAGACCAAGAATGAAATGGACTGCTATGTGGAGAGGAGTGTTCACAATCTGAAATGCAACAAGGAAGTTATCTCCCCAGTTCTGAAGTTCATGTGGGTGAATGATGCGAAGGTCCCTAGCATCGACAGGGTGATCGAACAAGTTACGTTGTTGTACAAAAAGGCGAAGTGTGCCGTGACCGGCGACAAGTTGTATCATGAAGGATGGGCTGTCAGGAGGCTGTGCGCTTACCTCAAGACTTTCGCCCACAAGCCTTATTTACCCAAGGACCGTTTTTGTTCAAGGATTGTTTCTGTTAGTACACACAGGTTTGATTAAAGCATGTATGAACTTATATACTGTATATACATATACCAGGTATTTGTCATCTATATCCCATGGTGTGGGGTTCGTTCCCTCGAGCACTGCTGCCTCATACTTGAGGACCAGACGGTCAGGGGCCTCCTCGCTGAGTTTGGAGTCAACTTGCAATCCTTGCAGGATGCTACCAGGTTGCACAACCATGGCATCAGGGTCATATATAGCACACTATAGTATAATTTTTTACAGCACAACCGTAGAAACAATATAATATAAAGATCGATCTATATATATATATGCAGGAAACTGTGTGCAGATGCATTTAAATTTAGTGTCAGAAACATTTTTATATATGTACAGACTGTATATACATCCTGACATGTGATATAGCCGTTTGATTTGACATCACTCACTGAAGGTTCCTCCTCTTCAAGATGGAAGTGGTGGTCCTGCTGATTCAGTGCCAACTCCAGAATCTATGGAAGTTGTTGTGGCTTCTCCCTCTGAAATTCGATCTACTCCGCTTTCAAATTCTCCTATGGAAAACCCAATCCCAACACCGACGACTTTGGTGCCTTCTACTTCTGATGAACAGCCAGAAGTTCCCATGGGTTTTGATTTGGAAACATGGTTGCATATATACATATGTAGTTCAACAAAAAATAAGCATCTCACTCAGTAGATATACAACTCTATAGGTTCCATGGGAGTGGCAATTATGAAGCGGTATAGATCTGTTATTTGTTTTCCTTGTGGGACTTGTACACAGGATATATCTATATATAGGATCGATATTCCGTTTATTTACCCCTCCATGAAACCTGCACATGACTGTCCTTGCCCATTTTCAAGGATATGGAGCTGGAAAACTTTGCGTTTCAGAATGAGGAAGAAATCGATTTGTACATGGAGTATCTTAAGACCCTGGAGCAACTCAGTGAGTTCAATTTGACTGAGTAGCTTCGCAGCAATCATAAGTGCTTTCTCATTGCGTTGAGTTCCATGCAGTTCATGTTATATATATATATTTTTTTTTCAATCTGCTTTATCTATAGCTGTTATATGTATAAGAACGCCCATCCAGTCATCTGATACTTTTTTTTTGGGGGGGTGTTCAACCTTTGCCCGCATGCAGCGAGGTCGCACCATGCTCCCCGAGATCCTTCTGATGTGGGACAAGGCGCCAGCAACGAAGGCCAGGGTGATCTGAGCAGCCTGGCTGAGAAGTGGGGCATCAACACTCCACATGGGACCTCTGTGGCAGGTGTCTTGTCATCACCATTGTTGAACTTGAGATCATATTCATATATATTTATATATAGGTTCATAGAGTGCTGGAACTGACATGTCATGACTCGATCCTCAGGACTCTTTTGTATATATATATATATATAAAAAACAGCTTGCATGATACCTGAGGTGATCCTACGCCTGTTTGGGTAGCTGAGTCGATGCCATATGCCCATGACAATGCTGACACCCAAGCCGAACTGGTTCCATCGGCGGAACTGGTCAATACGATCGAGAACCACATGGCTTTGGCCAAGGAAGATAAAGCTCTTGCTGCTCATGTTGGGGGTTCGACTGACCATGATGCTGACAACATGACCAACAATGGTGAAGGTAGCACGGCCCCACATACCCAAAACTCAGAAGCCCCATGTTTTCCTGAAGTGCCAGACACAGCCCTCACCAGGCGAAATCAATTTCGGATGAAGAGAACCATCAAGGAAGAGAAGGAGCAGAAAAAGGCACAGAAAGGAAAGGGCAAAGGAAAAGGCAAGGGAGGAAAGGGACGAGGAAAAGGCAAGAGAGGATCAAAAGGAAAAGGTAAAAGCAGCAAGAAGCATGCAAAGACCAACAAGAAAGCCAACAAGTTGCGCAACTCCAAGCGTAGGTCAGCCAGAAAGGCCAAAGCAAGGAGAGCAGCCTTAGCGAACAGAAACCGCAGCTTGAGCGACAGCAGCAGTGAAACACAGGGCCCTTGTGATGCTGAAGAACATACACTCCAGGAGACACATGCATCCTATCGAGAGCAAGCCCAGCAGCCGGAGCAAACACATGACCAATCTCACAGCAATTCCACTGGCAAACCTACGAAGAAATCTTCCAACAGCAAGGGAAAGAATCGTAAGACAACCGAGACCAGCAAGAAGAAAAGCAAGGTTTCCAAGGTGTCCAAGGTTTCCCGCTCTACCCGCCAAAAGAGTGGTGGCACTGATGAGGTTCATCCCCAGGCAGCCCGCCCAAAGGCAAAGGCAAAGGCAAAGGCGAAGACACAAGCAAAAAGCAGAGCACGCAAAGCCCGAGTTCCAACGGCCCCAGCTCAGGATCCAGCTGACGTGAGTTTAGGGCCAGAGCCAGCTGAAGTGGCTGAACCGGTTGTGGCGGCTGAGCCAGTTGCACAGCCAGCCATGGCTGGGAATGTTGTGGGGGTTGACCAGGATGAGGTGGGTTCAGTGGTGGCTGAGGCAGGTGATAATGTGACGGGCCCCTTGGTTGATGAGTTCCGTGCAAAGGCAAAGTCTATGTACACGAAGTGCCATGTCCCCGGACATCCGGGCTGTGTCTCTGACCATTTGGGTGAAGAGATGCCCCAGGCTGATGGATTTCAATTCAGTGTCTATTGGTCCCGGAAGGCAGTTGGGGTCAAGATCTTGGAATCCCTCCTCAGGAATAGCCTTCGCAAAGGCAAAAATGCGTATCAACAGATTGCTTACTTCAGTGGGGGCACCTGTTCCCATGTGAACATCGAAGCTGCACGTGTTTATGTGGGGTCCTCAATTGACATGGGTTTGTCATGTATTTTATATATATATATTCATTGTAGGAAACATCTATATATGTATATTGTATATACATAATATATATATTTATTTATTTAAAACGTTTTTCGGCCCAGCAAGCATGACTGTCCCATTCTTTCCCCGCTCTTGTGCCCTGCCTTCTCAGGTCCAGGAGCTTTCGCAGCAGATGAATGCACCCAATGGTCCTGACCCATCATCAGCTTCGATGCGGGCATTTGCAGATTCATTGAAGAGTGCGAGGGCACAGGCTTTTCGTGAGGTGACTGACCAACAAACTGAGTGAACACGGAGTGGCAAAGTTGGCATACAGCCAAAACTTTTTGGGGTGGCCGATGGACACGTGAAGCGAAAGGGTGAAGTGCAGTAAAAATGATATATTTTTTTCTTTATATATACATATATATATAATATATATATATATATATATATATATATCCGCCGACCCCGGCCGACGCAAGGGGGAGCGCGTAAGGGAAGAAGATGGAAATTAGGTGGTGTTTTGCTGTTTCGGAAGCGTTTCGAAACAGTAGGCCCAGCCATAATATTGTTTAGGCGGTTCTGGGGGATTCGGCCGAAACAGCTGGCCCAGCTACCGGAGATTCTGGGGGATTCGGCTGAAACAGTTGGCCCAGCTAGGATTCTCGAAGTAGGATCTAAACTAGGATCTAGATCTAGATCTAGGATTCTCTAGGATTTCAGAAGGGACGTTAGGCAGGTTTCTGTAATATTGTTTAGGCGATTCTAGGGATTCGGCCGAAACAGCTGGCCTAGCTACCGAAGATTCTGAGGGATTCGGCTGAAACGGCTGGCCCAGCTAGGATTCTCGAACTAGGATCTAAACTAGGATCTGGATCTAGATCTAGGATCTGGATCTAGATCTAGGATTCTCTAGGATTTCAGAAGGGACGTTAGGTAGTTTTCTGCCGCGATTTTTCGTTATTTTCGGCACGAAATTAGGTGGTGTTTTGCTGTTTCGGAACCGCTTCGAAACAGCAGGCCTAGCTGTAATATTGTTTAGGAGATTCTGGGGGATTCGGCCGAAGCAGCTGGCCTAGCAAGGATTCCCGAAGCCGCGATTTTTCGCTATTTTCGGCACGAAATTAGGTGGTGTTTTGCTGTTTCGGAACCGCTTCGAAACAGCAGGCCTAGCTGTAATATTGTTTAGGAGATTCTGGGGGATTCGGCCGAAGCAGCTGGCCTAGCAAGGATTCCCGAACTAGGATCTAGATCTAGATCTAGGATAGATCTAGAGATCTAGATCTAGGATTCTCTAGGATTTCAGAAGGGACGTTAGGCACTTTTTTGGCGTGGTTTTGGAACTAGCTCGTCCTTCTGAGCCATGGTGTTTTCCTGCCGGGAGCTGCTTTTATGCTTTTTTCGAAGTTGTTTTCGGAAAAAGGTTGTTTTTCTAGGATTTCAGAAGGGACGTTAGGCACTTTTTTTGCGTGGTTTTGGAACTAGTTCATCCTTCAGAGCCATGGTGTTTTCCTGCCGGGAGCTGCTTTTATGTTTTTTTCGAAGTTGTTTTCCTGCGAGCGGGCGCAGGCAACAGAAATTCTCGAAAAATGTTGTTTTTCTAGGATTTCAGACGGGATGTTAGGCACTTTTTTGGCGTGGTTTTGGAACTAGTTCGTCCTTCAGAGCCATGGTGTTTTCCTGCCGGGAGCTGCTTTTTTCGAAGTTGTTTTCCTGCGAGCGGCCGCAGGCAACAGAAATTCTCGAAAAAGGTTGTTTTATGTTGTTTTATGTTGTTTTTCTAAGATTTCAGAAGGGATGTTAGGCACTTTTTTGGCGTGGTTTTGGAACTAGTTCGTCCTTCAGAGCCATGGTGTTTTCCTGCCGGGAGCTGCTTTTATGTTTTTTTCGAAGTTGTTTTCCTGCGAGTGGGCGCAGGCAACAGAAATTCTCGAAAAATGTTGTTTTTCTAGGATTTCAGACGGGACGTTAGGCACTTTTTTGGCGTGGTTTTGGGACTAGTTCGTCCTTCAGAGCCATGGTGTTTTCCTGCCGGGTGCTGCTTTTTTCGAAGTTGTTTTCCTGCGAGCGGCCGCAGGCAACAGAAATTCTCGAAAAATGTTGTTTTTCTAGGATTTCAGACGGGACGTTAGGTACTTTTTTTGCGTGGTTTTGGAACTAGTTCGACCTTCAGAGCCATGGTGTTTTCCTGCCGGGAGCTGCTTTTTTCGCAGTTGTTTTCCTGCGAGCGGCCGCAGGCAACAGAAATTCTCGAAAAATGTTGTTTTTCTAGGATTTCAGACGGGACGTTAGGTTGTTTTTCTAGGATGTCAGACGGGACGTTAGGTACTTTTTTGGCGTGGTTTTGGAACTAGTTCGTCCTTCAGAGCCATGGTGTTTTCCTGCCGGGAGCTGCTTTTTTCGCAGTTGTTTTCCTGCGAGCGGCCGCAGGCAACAGAAATTCTCGAAAAAGGTTGTTTTTCTTGGATTTCAGACGGGACGTTAGGCACTTTTTTGGCGTGGTTTTGGAACTAGCTCGTCCTTCTGAGCCATGGTGTTTTCCTGCCGGGAGCTGCTTTTTTCGAAGTTGTTTTCCTGCGAAAAAGGTTGTTCGTCCTTCAGAGCCATGGTGTTTTCCTGCCGGGAGCTGCTTTTATGCTTTTTTCGAAGTTGTTTTCGGAAAAAGGTTGTTTTTCTAGGATTTCAGAAGGGACGTTAGGCACTTTTTGGGCGTGGTTTTGGAACTAGTTCGTCCTTCAGAGCCATGGTGTTTTCCTGCCGGGAGCTGCTTTTATGTTTTTTTCGAAGTTGTTTTCCTGCGAGCGGGCGCAGGCAACAGAAATTCTCGAAAAATGTTGTTTTTCTAGGATTTCAGACGGGACGTTAGGCACTTTTTTGGCGTGGTTTTGGAAATAGTTCGTCCTTCAGAGCCATGGTGTTTTCCTGCCGGGAGCTGCTTTTTTCGAAGTTGTTTTCCTGCGAGCGGCCGCAGGCAACAGAAATTCTCGAAAAAGGTTGTTTTATGTTGTTTTATGTTGTTTTATGTTGTTTTATGTTGTTTTTCTATGTTGTTTTATGTTGTTTTTCTAGGATTTCAGAAGAGACGTTAGGCACTTTTTTGGCGTGGTTTTGGAACTAGTTCGTCCTTCAGAGCCATGGTGTTTTCCTGCCGGGAGCTGCTTTTATGTTTTTTTCGAAGTTGTTTTCCTGCGAGCAGGCGCAGGCAACAGAAATTCTCGAAAAAGGTTGTTTTTCTAGGATTTCAGACGGGACGTTAGGCACTTTTTTGGCGTGGTTTTGGAACTAGTTCGCCCTTCAGAGCCATGGTGTTTTCCTGCCGGGAGCTGCTTTTTTCGAAGTTGTTTTCCTGCGAGCGGCCGCAGGCAACAGAAATTCTCGAAAAAGGTTGTTTTTCTAGGATTTCAGACGGGACGTTAGGTACTTTTTTGGCGTGGTTTTGGAACTAGTTCGTCCTTCAGAGCCATGGTGTTTTCCTGCCGGGAGCTGCTTTTTTCGCAGTTGTTTTCCTGCGAGCGGCCGCAGGCAACAGAAATTCTCGAAAAAGGTTGTTTTTCTAGGATTTCAGACGGGACGTTAGGCACTTTTTTGGCGTGGTTTTGGAACTAGCTCGTCCTTCAGAGCCATGGTGTTTTCCTGCCGGGAGCTGCTTTTTTCGAAGTTGTTTTCCTGCGAAAAAGGTTGTTTTTCTAGGATTTCAGACGGGACGTTAGGCACTTTTTTGGCGTGGTTGTGGAACTAGTTCGTCCTTCAGAGCCATTGTGTTTTCCTGCCGGGAGCTGCTTTTTTCGAAGTTGTTTTCCTGCGAGCGGCCGCAGGCAACAGAAATTCTCGAAAAATGTTGTTTTCCTAGGATTTCAGAAGGGACGTTAGGCACTTTTTTGGCGTGGTTTTGGAATGTTTTGGAACTAGTTCGTCCTTCAGAGCCATGGTGTTTTCCTGCCGGGAGCTGCTTTTTTCGAAGTTGTTTTCCTGCGAGCGGCCGCAGGCAACAGAAATTCTCGAAAAAAGTTGTTTTCTGGGATTTCAGACGGGACCGGCCGACGCAAAGGGGAGCTGCCCGCAGGCAGCAGCAGGCAGCAGGCAGCAGCAGGCAGCAGCAGACACAAGCAGACGCAGCAGCAGTAAGCGCAATGGTAGCAGTGCAGCAGCTAGCAGCACGAAAAATTGTGTTTTTCTAGGATGGCACTAATGGGTGTCAAGAACGTGGGCAAGAGCACGCAAAAGGTGCACATATAGCCAGTAGCTAGCAGCCAGCGCCAGTAGCAGCCAGCAGCCAGTAGCCAGCAGCCTACCAAAAATCTAATCTAGATTTTTCTAGGATTTCAGACGACACGTTAGGCACTTTTTTGGCGTGGTTCTGGCACTCGCTCGTCCTTCAGAGCCCTGGTGTTTTCCCCCCGGGGAGGTGATTTTTTCGAAGTTGTTTTCCTGCGAGCGGCCGCAGGCAACAGAAATTCTCGAAAAAGGTTGTTTTTCTAGGATTTCAGACGGGACGTTAGGCACTTTTTTGGCGTGGTTTTGGAACTAGCTCGTCCTTCAGAGCCATGGTGTTTTCCTGCCGGGAGCTGCTTTTATGCTTTTTTCGAAGTTGTTTTCGGAAAAAGGTTGTTTTTCTAGGATTTCAGAAGGGACGTTAGGCACTTTTTGGCGTGGTTTTGGAACTAGTTCGTCCTTCAGAGCCATGGTGTTTTCCTGCCGGGAGCTGCTTTTATGTTTTTTTCGAAGTTGTTTTCCTGCGAGCGGGCGCAGGCAACAGAAATTCTCGAAAAATTTTGTTTTTCTAGGATTTCAGACGGGACGTTAGGCACTTTTTTGGCGTGGTTTTGGAACTAGTTCGTCCTTCAGAGCCATGGTGTTTTCCTGCCGGGAGCTGCTTTTTTCGAAGTTGTTTTCCTGCGAGCGGCCGCAGGCAACAGAAATTCTCGAAAAAAATTGTTTTATGTTGTTTTATGTTGTTTTTCTATGTTGTTTTATGTTGTTTTTCTAGGATTTCAGAAGGGACGTTAGGCACTTTTTTGGCGTGGTTTTGGAACTAGTTCGTCCTTCAGAGCCATGGTGTTTTCCTGCCGGGAGCTGCTTCTATGTTTTTTTCGAAGTTGTTTTCCTGCGAGCGGGCGCAGGCAACAGAAATTCTCGAAAAAGGTTGTTTTTCTAGGATTTCAGACGGGACGTTAGGCACTTTTTTGGCGTGGTTTTGGAACTAGTTCGTCCTTCAGAGCCATGGTGTTTTCCTGCCGGAAGCTGCTTTTTTCGCAGTTGTTTTCCTGCGAGCGGCCGCAGGCAACAGAAATTCTCGAAAAAGGTTGT